AACATTCCGGTGATATCTCGAGAATATTAGTGTAAAAGTATTGTTATAATTTATCTTTTTTTAATGGGCCACATATATACTATTAAAATTAATAAAATGAATATGGCAAAAAAAAAATGTAGAATAGATTTCTTCTAACATTGAATGATTTCTGGGCCCAGATATTAATTTCTGGGTCCAGAAATCGAATCTGGGCCCAGAAATAAATTTCTGGATAGTCTCGTTTTTGTCCAAGAAATCAATTTCTGACCGAGAAATCATATTTTTGGCCCAGAAATCACATTTCTGGCCCAGAAAATCACATTTCTGGCCCAAAAATCAAATTTCTGGGCCAGAAATGTGATTTCTGGGACCCAGAAATCGTTTTCTGGATTATCTCGTTTCTAGTCCCAGAAATGTGACTTCTGGGCCAGAAATCACATTTCTGGACAAGAAATCAATTTTTAGTCCAGAAATCGATTTCTGGCCCAGAAATCACATTTCTGACTCAGAAATCGATTTCTGGGACGGAAATGTGAATAAATCGATTTCTTGTCACGAAATCGATTTCATGTCACGAAATCGATTTCTGGCCCAGAAATCACATTTCTGACACAGAAATGTGAACAAATCGATTTCTGTGTCAGAAATGTGATTTCTGGGTCGGAAATGTGATTTCTGGTACCTAGGAATCGTTTTCTAGATTATCTCGTTTCTAGTCCCTGAAATGTGATTTCTGGGCCGGAAATCGATTTGTGGGACCAGAAATCAATTTTCTGGACAAGAAATCTATTTCTAGTCTAAAAATTGATTTCTTGACAAGAAATCGATTTCTGGGACCAGAAATCCAATTTTTAGACAAGAAATCTATTTCTAGTCCAAAAATCTGTTTTGAATCCCCAACATGGTTTATGGGATCTCAGAAACAGTAGATACATCCCAAAAATGTTTTTCGAATCGTATAAACAATTTGTGTGATTTCAAAAATTATTTTATAAACCATTTTATTCGTTTTATTATAAACATTGATTACTTAATTCTCAAATAATTATTTAAAATTGTTTGTCATTAAATACTTTTACATCTTTGGTTTACAGATGTGTGAAAAAATTCTAATTGTGCATAGCGGGTCCCAGAAATCGATTTCTGGAATCACAAATGATTTCTACGTTTCTGGACAAACTCGCGAGTCGCGGTGAAGAACAGAACCCAAGCTTCCAAGCTTCCTAGGGTCGCGAAGCGGAAAAATCAAGCTTATATTGTTTAACAGCACAAACCAAACACTAAACAAAGACAAAAAGAAAATTGTATAAAAAAAAAACCACAATTGTCAAAGTAGAACCACAACCAAAGTATCCAATAGACCACAATTGTCAAAGTACCAAATACACTACAATTGGCAATAGCAATACACAACAAAAGCCCCAAAAAATGGCACTACTTCGATATGAGAATACTATGAGCAAAAATTGTTAATGCCATTTTCTGTCTATATAAACTTATGTCCGACTCCAGGAGAATGTCCTCGCCAAGCATGCGTTCAACGTACATGCAAGCAAATACACCACAATTATGGGTATCCTCTTGAGAGTGCGGGACCCACTTTCCACGGGAACATGAGAAGCGGTAAGTTCCAAGAGATAATTTGTCCGACAAACACCAATGGGCTCGTGCAAAACCTGAACGTGGTGGGGTCCATCGGCTGGCGCGATTAGGCTGTTGTCGGCCCATCCTGCGAATTAAGACTCGACCCAAGAAAAATCAACCGAAAAGGATAGGTTTCCCAATATGACCCGCGGGCAATTTTTACAAGAAAACTAAAAAATATTTAGTTCCGCTTTCTTTCTTTACCGGCATAATAGTGAAAAAGTGGAACAAACATGGGAAGCTCGGACGACAGAGCTTGATAATATGGCTTGCCATTGTCCCATGTCCTGAGTTGGGCCAGCTCCTTCATGTACTTAACAACCAAATCAGCAAAACGCAATATTATCCAGGACCTTTCCTAAATCACCATTCGTGCAACAAAAGAAGATTAATTAGTTTAAATTCAAGAAACAAACACATAACTGAAAATGGAAAAGCGGGGCAAAAGAGTCGTACGTAAGCACTCATTTTGGGCCACAGGCCTTCGTCAAAAGCCTTTCGGGCTGCTGATATGGCCCGATTGACATCTTCAGCATCACCTTCAGCAACATGCACAATGACTTCTCTTGTACGGTGGTCCAGCGTAGGAAATGTTTTCCCTACAAAAATACCACATTTTTTTACTTTCTCCTCTAAAGAATGCCACCTTTTATATTTTGTGCAAAACGTCAACCTTCTTTTTCTCATTGTGCCGAATTTAATTAATTGTAATTTAGTTCTTAAGGTGACTTTTCAAAAGAAACAAGCAATTCAAGAACATTATTTACCAAACATAGATTGATTCAACTTTAGCTGCAAACACTAACAACTCTCAACTATTCTTAGACTTTTGCATAGCACACTTAAGTTTCATATGCAACAAAAACAAGAGAACATACTTACCGTAAAAACTAGAGAATATTGGTTCACCATAAACAACCTGTATAAACTACAAAACCAAAACCACAATCAAAATTATTAATTTTACTGTTTCTTTTTTATTGAAAAGCTAGAGAACATACTTAATAGATACTTAGTTTACAAACTGCCCATTAATCAGAAGATTGGTGTGATTAACTTAAACAGGTGGTGTAATTGGCATTTCATGAACAACAACAGTTGTAATATATCTGTTAATTCTGCTTCCCAACCCATATTTCCTACCTAAATGCATATCCAAGAAAATGCATAATAATAAAGACACGGTCTTTACACTATTTTTCAAATAAAGACATGATCTTTACACTATTTTTCACATAAATACATCAAAAAGACACAAATAATGTCATGTATAGCATGAAATATGAATAGCTGTAGTGCATGCTAAGGCACAAATACGACAGATCATTAGAGTTAAACTTCTCATATAACATAAAGGAAGAAACAATAGTCATTGATACATATATCTTACACTAACCATCAACCAAAAACAAAGAATACGGATAATTAAATAATTTCCGAGCCACAGAACTTGCTAGGCACCTTAAACACTTTTTTCTCTTCCCTCGTTGAAGGAAGGTTCCATAATGTGTTGTATCCCACTCGTCTGCCATCCTAATGAGAATGATAACATACGGAGTGTGTTTGTGAACGACGGGATCAAATGTATCCAGATCTATTGTTGCTGCAAATCTGTCCATAAGATACTAATAACATACGAAAACATAGTTGTAGGTAAAACAAAAAAACCCTAATTCGAACATGAAGGGCTCCTAACTTGAAAAAAAAAAAACCTAATTCAAACCAAAAAGGGAGGCTGTCACTTTCGCTACCCGATTTCAGATTCCGGCGATATAAAACAGAGGCCATATAAGAATCATTTTTAAAAAATAATAATATAATTGTACGTTGAGGCTTTAATTAGTCGTGTCGAATTCTTGAAAACAACAGATAAAAAGATGAAATAATAAAGAAATATCTATCAAAATTTACTCACCTCCAAGCCTTCTTCAGAATATTG